AGATTAATGAGAGCCCAGTCCTTCAGGGCAGCTGCTCACCACGGCCTTTGAGGTCTACTGGAGCCTTGGAATTGTTTGAGCTTAACAGCTCCTGTGCCTGAGCCTGGATGGGGATGCTGGCTTGCCTGCAGCTGTGGAGACAGCTGGTGTGGTTTTCCCCTGGGATTCCCTTCTCAGAGTGGCCTGGGATCAAAGAGACCACCTCTTCGCCTCAGGGTCACAGTGAATTCCAGCTCCACTCCGGATGTGCCTTCCTGTCTCTCAGACACAGACAGGAGCTGGGGGCCAGCCATCCGCAGATTGGAGTGCTCTCTGGTGTCCTTGGGTGGACAGCCTTCAGTGTGACACCGACAGGCTAGAGACCAGCTAGCTGGTGTCCTCCACATCTGCTCCGGCAGATCTGCCTGGGTGTAACACAGTCTGTGCTCCGTTCAGTTCTGGTGTGCCGAATTTATCCAACTTTGAGATGGAAGCTACACACCTGTTCATAGACGGGGAAACTGAGGCTCAGTTATTAGGTGGCTCAACTTGCCAGAAGTGGCATCTGCCTGTGTCTATAGTGGACACACTTCCAGGTTGGGACCTGAGTTTGCACTAGCTATTGTCTAATGTGCTACCCACTAACTTGGTCACAGCTGAGTTGATGCTGTGTGTGTGTGTGTGTGTGTGTGTGTGTGTGTGCATGAGCAATGCACCACTGATGCCCCCTCTCTGTGCTGAGATCTCCTGGACTCCCCTTGAGACCACAGGAACAACAATGAATTAATCTCATCACTTTATCAAGGAGGCACTTACAGAAATTACAAGGCAAGGCCACCAACTTGGTTTTGTTGGCAGCCGGCCGCCAGGCCCATAAAACAAATTGAAACGAACAAAATAAATAAGGGAAATTGGAAATCCACACAGGCACTTGTGTGTGTGTGTGTGCGCGCGTGCATGCGCACACACAGCCCCTGAAAGGTCAGGAGCGTTGCTCTACACTCGCTGTTAGCACTCTTGCATAGGAAACACTCCTTTCCTGTCACCTTAGGAAGACAGCAGGACCAAACCCACACCCCCCATTCTGGGCAGTAACTTGTGGCTCATCCTCATTCAAGGGGTACCTGGCCTCAATGCAGCTGAGAGCAGCTCCCATGAGCAGGCCACCTGGGTTCTATTCCCAGGCTGCTTCTGCTAGAGTTGTGCTCTCCCTTCTCATTTGTAAAAACTTTACAACAAACAAACAAACAAACAAACAAACCAGACTCTCACTGTATAGTCCTGTCCCATTCTGAACTTTGTCATCTTCCTAAAGCGCTGGGACATCTGTAAGATGGGGAGAAATTGGCTAAGTTAAAGACTTAATAGATGTTGAGCAGGGCTGCAGCTGCATCACCAAATGCTCGGTTTTTTAGTGGTTGGTGTGCTTTGGGAACCTACTGTGTGTGAGTCAGGTCTTGGACTGTCAAGAGGAACTGGCTCGCATGGAGGAAGTAGACAGGGCATGGATGGTGGGCAGCATGGGGTGGTTGGCAGAAAGGAGCAATACCTCCCCAGCGGGATCTGGATTGGTGGGCTGTAGACCTAGGGCAGAGGGCACTTGGGGGACTTGCTTCTGTTTGCCAGTCAGAACTGGTTGCTGGGGAGTGGGAGGGGTTTAGGCTGTGTGTGAAGATGGTTGGGTGGGGTGGGGGACAGACTCCAGAGCCTGTAAGATAACATACGCAGAACAGGAGCGGAACAGGTACGTTAGCTGAGCTTGTGTTTTCTTCTTGCTTATCTTTGACATTGCCTTGTTTAGCCAGGTGTAGTGACTCCACATCTGTAATTCAAGACTGAGGCCAAGGTAGGAGAATCCCTGAGTTTGGGGCCAGACTGGGCTACAGAGTGAGATCCTGTCTGAAAAATTAAAAATCACTAGAAAACCAAAACCATGTTTATATGACCATTGCAAATTACTGCCACACCCCAGTTGACTTCCCATGAAGTTACACAAGTGAGTTCTCTCAGAAATAACATTGGAGGGGCTGGCGAGAAGGCTCAGCAGGGAAAGATGCTTGCTGCTAAGCCTGATGATCTGAGTTTTTGAGCCTTAGAACCCACGCGTTGGAAGAGGGAACCGAAGAGGGAACCGACTCCCGAGAAGCTGTCCTCTGGTCTCCAAACACAGACTGTGGGCGCTCAGTACCCACACATGCACAGTGCACACACACACACATGCACGAATACATAAATATAATACAAACAGACAAAGAAGACGGGAGTAGCATTGATGAGAAGAAGCAAGGGGTGTGATGAGCGGAGAAATGTCGTAAGACAATTGTCCTGTTGTCACAGGGGTCCTTGAGGTCCCTGGGTCTGAGCTCTGGGGAATGCGGCAGTCTGGTAACTTGAGCCCAGAAATGACCCTGCTTCAGAGCCCTTTATCACTGATGGCCCACACTTCATGCTTTGCTCTAGGAGATCTGATCCATATCCCACACCAGGAGGCTGTGGCATGGGATGCCTGGGAACACTTACCTCCCCTCCTGGCTACCAGACCTCCTTAGCTGCTGGGTTAGTAACAAAAGCTTGTCTTTGTGGGTGAGGCACTTTCTCTTTTCTTCAGGCTTCTTGTGAGGTACAGGGGAGTGGGTATAAGAGCTATGGGCCCGGGCTGGAGAGATGGCTCAGTGGTTAAGAGCATTGCCTGCTCTTCCAAAGGTTCTGAGTTCAATTCCCAGCAACCACATGGTGGCTCACAACCATCTGTAATGAGGTCTGGTGCCCTCTTCTGGCCTGCAGACATACAGACAGACGGAATATTGTATACATAATAAATAAATATTTAAAAAAAAAAAGAGCTATGGGCCCGAGGTAGCTCATTTTGGCTTCCCGTTTCTTGGTCTGTGAATCGGGCACTGGTAGGCCAGCTCAGAGATGGTAGGGGTCAAGAGAGCTGATCCAGAGGTGGCACACAGTAGTGGGTTTACAGTTGGAGCCCTGGCTGTTATTACTGTGAGTGGATAGTAGCAGAGCTGGGGCCAGGGCCCAGCTTCTTTCTCCTTGGCCCCCTGGGATGGGATGAGCATCGGATGTCTTCTGTTGAATCTGATGTCATATGTTGCTTTTTTTCCCTGGTACCAGGCTTGTAGGCACAGAGCCCACATTGGTTAAATAGGTGTTGAAAAGACAGGGGACTTGGGGTAGACACTGTCCCTGTTTCAAAAAGCTGGACACTATCCCATGCTTTCACAAGGAAGACGGCTTTATAAAAGAAGCACCTCGTATGACGAAGTGGTTTGCTGTTTGGTTTTAATAGTTTGAGAGTAGCCCACATGGCCCTCAGACATTGAGCGTCTCGCTCCAGCATCTCCAGGGTTGAGACCAATTGAATGGGTTGCCTTACTTAGGCAATAGTTCTTTATTTTTGCTCACTGATTTGTGTGTGTGTGTGTGTGTTATATGTTTGAGACAGGCAATATTTCTGTGGCCCAGGCGGCCCTCAAATTCCTGTTCTGTGGCTAAAGATGACCTTGAACTTCTAATTCCCCTGCCTCTCCTCCAGGATCCCAGATGTGCCCCACCAGACCTGCTTTACAGGCTGCTGGGTGTAGCACTCAGGACTCCTGCACACTTCCATCACCTGAGCTACATCCCAGCCCCATTTCAGTCCTGAGATGTGTAGTCCAGGCCGGCCTTGAACTTGATTTGTAGAATGACGCTAACCCCCTGATCTCTCTGTCTCCAACTCACCTCCCAGGTGCTAAGATTGCAGAGCCAGTGAGATGGCTCAGAGGGTAAAGGCAGTTGCTGGCAATCCAGCAACTAGGTTCGATCCCATGAGCCTCATGGTGGGTGGAGAAAACTGACTCCTGCCTGGAAAGTTGTCCTCTACGCACTGTGTCCATAGGCTGGCATTCAACTTTCCTCACCTTCACTTGTACACACACGCACACACACAAATTAAAAAAAAATGCAGTCATAAGAAAACAGGAATGCGCACTGTCAGGCCTAACCTAGACTACAACTTGTCTTTTTCTTCTTTTATTTAAATTTAAATCTGTCTGCTTATCTGTCTTCTACTTTCTGTCCATCTATTTTAAGGCAAGGTCTCACTGTGAAGCCCTGGCTGTCCTGGAATTCACCATGTACAACAGGCTGGCCTCAAACTCACAGAAATCCTCCTGCCTCTGTAGGGATTAAAAGCATGCACCACCACACCCAGCATAGGCTACAGGTTTGTTTTGTTTTATGGTTTTTTGAGACAGGGTTTCTCTGTGTAATCGCCTTGGCTGTCCTGGAACTCACTCTGTAGACCAGGCTGGTCTCAAACTCACAGAGATCCACCTGCCTCTGCCTCTCGAGTGCTGGGATTAAAGGTGTGTGCCACCACCTCCCGGCTAGGCTACAAGTTTTTAAAGTTACTTTCCACATAAGGTTTCATTCGACCCTTCTCCTAGGAGCTAACAACCCACCTGTTTTGCAGATGAGGAAACTAAGGTTAAGTGACAGCAAGGAGATTTCCTCCAAGTCGGGAGCTTGGTGACCTGGCCCCCAGAGGGAGCAGAGTCCCGTCCCTGCCACAGTTTTCCTGGGCTTTTCCTAATGACAGGTGTAGGCTGGAGGAGCTGGGGCGGTCTGTGTTGATGATCAGCTCAGCGCTGAGGCTGTGCTCCTGGTGTCAAGTGCTGACTCAGCACATCTGATGTCATTCTCCTACCCCACCCCACATCCTGTGGCTGTCACAGAACCCAGAACTGTGAGTGACCATTCTCAGAAGAGAAGAACTATGTTTTTTTTTTTTCTCCCCAGATAGCTACTTGGCCCACCCAGCTCAGCTCACAGGCTGAAATTGGCGTGGGAGAGAGTTAGACACATTCCGGAGAGCCACTTAAGAGTTCTTGCTCCGAGTAGTACTTCCCTGTTCAACCCTGGGTTAGAGCAAGTCTGCATGGGCCAATTAGTTCCCAGACAGTCAGCCTAATGAGTGGGGGTCCGGGATGGACAGCAGGCGCCTGGCAACCCTCTCTCTGTTGCAGGAAACATCGAGTACAGCTGTCCGGCCACCAACGAGTGTGAGATCACCAAACGGAGGCGCAAGTCCTGCCAGGCCTGCCGCTTCATGAAATGCCTCAAAGTGGGGATGCTGAAGGAAGGTGAGACCAACTGCCAGGGTGAGGGCTCCGCTTGGATTGTCATGGTGGGGAGTGTCAGGCCTGTGAAAGGATACGGGCAGGCCTAGAGCCTTGCCAAGGGCGGTGTGTGTGTGTGTGTGTGTGTGTGTGTGTGTGTGTGTATGTGTGATGGGGGGCTATAGGCTGCCTTGGATCAAGGCTGCCATGCCATAGTAGCCTGCTGGACTTCTCTTCTCAAAAAGATGTGGGCTAGTAAGATGGAAGTCAGGAGGTCCCAAGGATCCTTTTGGGGACTCCAGGCCCTATTTGGAGCCTTGGCTGTTAGCTTGTTACCCTGGGAAGTCCTCGTTTCGACTAGGACTCCCCCTCCCCATCTTGGCAGGTGGACTTAGGACTCCTGGAGCTTCCTCAGGTTTGGAGGTGGGTACTGTACACTGCTTGCTGGTGAGGCGTGGCCCTTGGCTTCTAGTGGAGTTCAGGACATGTCTCTTGCCTGGTGAAGTGTTTTCCACCTCTATTTCTCTTCCATCTTCGTTCTGGTTCTCCTTCCTGTTGCTTTTTCCTCTGGAGTCATTTGGTGTATTGGGTTTCCCTTCTGTGCAATGATCAGAAGTCACAAGTGCCAAATGAGCTAAGTTTAGTTCCATCAGAAGGTGTTTTTTTTTTATTTGTTGGCCATTTAGCTTTTAATTTTTATATGTTTTTGTCTTGTATGTATGTGTGAGTTCCTGCATGTATTTATTTCCATACAGGTGCCCTTGGCTGTCAGAAAAGGTCTTTTGATCCCCATCAGTGGCAATATAGGTGCTGGAAACAGAACCCTGGTCTTTGATTGAGTTAACTGAAGCATGGTGATGTTAACATTGTGGCATCCTGTGTGTATTTTTTTACTTGAGAAGTGGCTCCTTGGAAGTGTGAGATGGAGCCCATTGTGTGGAAGGCCCCATCTCTTGTGGTTCTGCCCAATTTGAATCTTGTTCAGTACCATATTGGGAATGGGGTACAAGTGTGCACGTGTATTATAGTTGCACGTACTCACACCATTGCGCGTGCCCATGTGATTCCCTCAGAAGGAGCCAGTGCACGTTCTTACAGATCAGCTGCCAGATGTCCCCCGGGCTGATGTACTGAGTCTATTGCAGCCATTAGGGAGCCTTGCCTGAAGGAGGAAGGGACCAGTCGCCAGGGCACATCCTACCTCCTCTGCTGGCAGGCCTGTGTCTGAAAGGGAAGAGCTGACAGGAAACGTCCCGAGCGTGGGTGAAACTGAGCTTCTGGCTTAGTGTCCGTCCACATAGAGCTTTATGGTACTTGGCATCAGAAGCTCCTTGGGGAGCAGCCTCCAGGGAGAAGCAGGCCTCCTGGAGAAGCCTGGGTTCCTGCCAGGTAGAGCTCTTGGCCGCTGTCCTGGCTCCTGCTTTTGTTTGGGTATCCTTCTTTGCTGTGTGTGCAAGGTCTGGTCCCTAAGGCCAGCATCTCAGCCTCTGACTTCATTCTAGAAACAAACTTCACACTTCCCCTCTGCTGATTCCTGCCTTAGGGTCTCGCAGTCAGCTGGGCAGCAGGGGTTCCTGCATCTTTCAGAAGAGCAGGGGCTGTAAACACTGCTCTCATTTCCTCCCTTCTACCCAGCAGCTCGAGATGTCTCCAGTCACTTTTTCTTAGTAAAATAGTCCATGCCACTGAGCTTTGAATTAGGGGCCGCAGCCCTTACTAGGGATGAAGTCAGATGCGTGGTGTTCTCTGCCTCACGATCAAAGCCTGTCAGTTGCCTCAAGTGGTTGGAGACTGGTCCTGTTTCCCACATGGCTTCCTTTGGCTCTGCCCTGTCTCTCCTGGGATGACTGGAGCGATCGGTGACTGAAGGCAGTGTCCCAGAATCTCTATGCAGATGCATTGTATGACAGACAATTCATATTTTTAGGGAAGGTCATCCTTTTCTTATGTTGTGCAAAATTGAATGCAAAATCTGATGTGGGGTCAGAGCTGGCGACTGGCATTTCTTTGTGGCTCTCATACCTAACAGTCCCTGGACCTCGTTTCTTCACCTCCTTTGAGACCTGTTCATCATCAGCTAACGGTGAGGCTCCAGTGGAACAGCTGTGACGTTGCCTTGGTGTGTCAGCCCTCTGGCAACATTCAGTTTGTGTTAGACTCACCTGAGTTCACACTGGTCTTTTCTACAACCATCTACTGAGTTGAGTGAGGCAGGTTGGACCCATTGATCTCCTTCCTGGATTTGTTGGTGGGACTCTAAGGGAGTGTGGTGTTACCTTAGGCTGGTCCTCTCTGAGTTCAGAATGGAATGAGATGGTCCCTGGCATCACAGGTGTGGACAGATTGAGTCTCCAGACCAGAAAATCCACTTGCTGTGTCTGTTCGGTGCCCCCAGTCTTCAGGTCAGCTCTGGGTCTTGACTACATCTCCCTAGCCAGCTCTGTCTCTACTCACTTCACCTTCCCCCTCCCCTGACTTGCCCTCTCTCCAGCCACTCCTGCCGCCTCCTCCCTGCCCAGGCCTGCCCTTCTCTTTCCTTCCCTTCCCGAGGGTTTTCTGAAAGATATTTGATTTCAGTGAGAGCTGGGCGGATGGCCATACAGTATGCTTTCTCTCTCTCCACGCGTGTCAGAAAGGCAGAGAGCTTCTCCAGGGGTTCCGGGTAATTGGGTTAGCGGCCAACTCACGTCAGGAAATTAAAAGGAGGCCCTGATCAGGTTCCGGCTGTATGGGATGGATCTAATGGTTTTGTATTTATAGAAGGCTCTGCCTCTAGCCCGTGCCAGAAATACCTCTTTTCTGGTCTTGTGAATGAAGAGAAATTCTTTTGCTTTTCCAAAATACATTAATGTTTTGAAACAAACCAACTCTCCAACATGTTGGAGGACAGCATTGAGCTACTTTCTGGCCTATACACATGGACACCCCACCCTCCCGCCTTGCTAGCTCACAAGACCTCCCCAAAGCCTCCTGAACACTCAGGTGCAGTGACCTCTGACTGTGTAACCGCCCAGCGGGTCAGTTAGTCTAGGGGTTGTAACCCGCCTGGCAGGTCAGTTATTCCAGGGTCCCGGCGCTATCTGAAAAAGACATGGGCAGGAAAGAGGAAGAAGGCCAAGCAAGACCTTTTTTCAAAGCCTCCATTTATTAGCGTCATGGTTGCGGCTTATATAGCCCCTGGATGAGGAATTTGGGTTGAGATGGGGACAGGGGCATGGCCAGGGCAGGAAGGGATCTTGCAGTGAAGGTCCAAGCTGGTCATGAGGTCACGATCACAAGTGGTCGGTCAGGAGGTCACGATAGGTCAGGAGGTCACAGAGACACACCTAGTTCTCTATTCAAGCAGAATCATTCCTTTTGTGATTCCAACCACAAACAGTTCTCTGGATAGTTGGAATGTGGGGCAGGTTCTGTTAACTGATAGCTCTCAAGATAGTTGGGTGTGGGGTGGGCTCTGCCAACAAACAGTTCTTAACACCGTTGGGGTGTGGGGCTCTCTGCAAACTCCCCAGGACAATGGTCCCTACAATACTTTTTGGGGAAAATGTCTCCTGACATGGCTGGACAAGTGTTGACTGAATACAGACAGTTGCTCTTGGCTGTGTTGAATTCTTATTACAGCTCACTCCAGGCTTTTAACACAAGAGCATTGGATCACAGGTTCAGCCCGTCTGGTCAGGCCCCTGGGAGGGAGGTGAAGTTTATGAAGGTCTAAGTAGCCTTCCCAGGGAGCTGCTAAATGGCCAAGTGGGGGTCTGACCCTAGTGGTGGCCAGGGATGTCTCTGGGCTTCTGCCATGATGTCTGATGTTGATTATTGATTAGAGATAGTAGCATTGATTTTTTTTGGGGGGGTTGTTTTGTTTTGTTTTTAACTGGTAGGTAACTGCATTTATGGGGCACACTGCGGTGCTTTGCTTTATATATTATAGGGAGATTCAATCAAGTTAGCGGACGTTCTTATTACATCACCGGTTTATTTGTTTGGTCTCCGGTGAGAGCATTAAAATTCTGAATTAGCAGTCTGGACATCTGCAGTGTGTCCTTGTGTTCAGAGGGGCCTAGGCAGTGCGGTGGGGAGATATAACCAAAGCAGCTGTCTGGGGTCCCCCATAGTCTGCCTGTTTATATTTAGCTAATGATCCTGCTTTAGTGTCTTGAAAATGAAAACAAAATTTCAGTTAATCAATTGTAGGTCGGGGATTAAACCCAGGACCACACATATGCCAGGCAAGTGCTCTCTGCCTATCTGAGCTACAACCCTAGCCCTCTGCCCTTTGAGAGGTCATCTCACTAAGTCACTTGGGCAGGCCTTGAACTCTGAATCTCTGTGTTCTGGCCTCCCAAGTAGCAGGATGCCACCAGGCTGGGCTGTGGTTTTTTTTTTTTTGTTGTTGTTTTGTTTTTTGTTTTTTTTTAACTCAGCTACAATGGACTCCTCGCAGATAGTGAGTACACATTCTGCTTGTGTCCCTTGTGGGGATGTCTTGATTCTCTTTATTCAGAAAGTAGTAGTTCAGAGGTCTGGCTGTTCAGCCTGTGACCTACTAGATCCATGACCCCAGTTCTCACAACTAGCCAGAAGAACACCTAATCACATGGGCACCCCACTCAATGAAAGAGACTGGGAGCTTGACCATGACTGTTGGCATAGAAGAAGGAATTTAGAATACACACATCTTCAAAAGTATTTAGTGTGTGTGTACAGAGGGCATTACGTGAAGGTCAGAGGTCACCTTTCGGGAGCCTGCTCTTTGTTTCCAGTGTGTGTTGTCGGGTTGGGTAGTCGACAGTTTACTACCGAGCCATTGCAGCAGCACAGGACAGCTGTGGTTGGGCACATTTGCCAAACAAGTGCCGACACCTCCACCACAGGGCACACTCTTCAGGTTCCCGTTACAGTTTTTCTCCATTCTTGGAGGAAACCATTATTCTGGCTTTTGTCTTACTGTTTCTTTGCCTCTCTCTGTAGGCTCATCATTGAGGTTTTTATTTTGTTTGCTGAGGCTGGGTTTCATTATTGTA